CCGCTGCACAGTGAAAACTAATTTCCTAAATGGCAGGCTGAGAAGGCCCAGAGGGGAGATGAAGGCTGGCGTTCAATCAGGGGGCACACCTGCCCAACCCCAGGATGCTGAGTGAGTTGCTCTCTGTTTGTACCACGCTTTAGCCACACAAACCACTAGCAAGTTTCTTGGCGATGCTTGTTGTGGGCATTGTGAGAGGTGTGGGCAGCACTATCTGAAGACCTCGTTTTTATGTCACTTTAAGGCCATCAGGTTCTACTTGGTCACTACAGATGTCCGACCAGGTTCTTTGCTAGACTGTCCCCGAGATTCAAGACAACGAATCAAATGTGACCTTTCACAAAACGACTTGATAACGGCTCACAAGGTGACTGAAAACCAAGGAGACAGATTTTGCTTAGAGCACATGATGGATGAACATGCCAACCCTGCCCTAACAAACCAACAGTCTTTGCTCTTACCTGGACTCAAACATAACGATTCGCTTTGACTAGAGGGTGTGCTGGTGCAATCAAGGGGTCTGTAGAAGAGTTGCGACGGTACAGCGGGATTGCTTGTCCCTTTAACCATGGTAAGTGCCGCAAGACATAGAGTCTCTGTTGCACTATTTTTATGAGCACAGTTCAGTAATGTTATATATTCACACCATTGTACAACTCATTTAAATAAATTAAAGTGTGTGTGTGTGTGTGTAGGTCAGAGGACAACTTGTGGGGGGTCAGTACTCTTCTTCTACCACATAGGTTTTGGGGATGGAACCCCGGGGGGTCAGGGGTGGTGGTAAGTACCTTTACCAAATGAGCCATCTCACCCAGAGCTTATCTTGCAGAATATGGCAAGATCTCTTTTCTTAGATTCCTGGCACACCATTGACCCACCGTGATGGTTACTATTCACTGTCCATTTGCGCAGATTAAGAGTCACCTAGGAGACACGCTTCTGGGCGTGTTTCCAAAGAAGTTTAACTGAGGAGGGGAGATCTGCATGAATGTGGGCAGGACCATGCCCTGGGCCGGGGCCTCAGACTGAATAAATTGGGAAAAGGGAGGAGTTGAGCTGAGCACTAGCATCCCTCTCTCAGCCACCTCATGTCAGGCTGCCATGGGCCATGATGGACCGAATCTCAAACTATGAGGCAAGTTAAACTGACAGACCTTTTCATCCATAAGCCAACTCTTGCCAGGTATTTTGTTACAGCATCAGGAAAGTTGCTAACACACTCCCCATAAATTAAACATCGGGTCTAGGTTTAAAGAAATGTATGCAGGACAGGAGCCCTACCGCAGAGGGCCTCTGAACAACTCTACCTAACAATGTATCAAAGCAGATCCTGAGACTCATAGCCATAACCTTTGGCAGAGTGCAGGGAATCATATGAAAGAAGGGGGAGTTAGAATGACCTGGAGAGGACAGGAGCTCCACAAGGACCAAAATATCTGGGCACAGGGGTCTTCTATGAGACTGTTTCTCCAACCAAGGACCATGTATGGATATAACCTAGAACCCCTACTTGGATGTAGCCCATGGTAGCTCAGTATCCAAGTGGGTACCTTAGTAAGGGGAACAAGGACTATTTCTGACATGAACTCAATGGCGGGCTCTTTGACCTCCCCTCCTCACCTGAGGGAGGAGCAGCCCTGCTAGGCCACAGAGGAGAACTGTGTAGCCAGTCATGAAGATACCTGATAAGCTAGGGTCAGATGGAAGGGGAGGAGGACCTCCCCTGTCAGTGGACTTGGAAAGGGGCAGGGAGGAGATGAGGGAGGGAGAGTGGTAGTGGGAGGGAATGAGGGAAGGGGCTACAGCTGGGATACAAAGTAAATAACCTGTGACTAATATAAAAAAATAAAAATTATTAAAAAAAACACCCCATGCTATAATTAAAAAAAAGAAACCGATGCATCTTTTGTTGTATCATATATGGTATATATAAAAATTGCCTGTACTATGCTAAGTCATGAGCGATGACGATGCGAGCACTCAGGAAGCTACCCTTCACCACAGTTCCTCTGTGTTGTGGGTGGGCTCCTTCTGTATCTAATCTCCCCACAAGATGAGTCAGCTTTTTATAGCGCAGTTCGGAAAATACACAAATTATGTACTGGGCAGTGCTCTCCAGTCTGGAGTTACTCTCTGCGGCTGGTTTTGTCTTTGCCCCGGTTGGAGTCAGTGGGAGAAATAGGCACGTGAGTAGACATGGGTGGGGCGGACAGTGCAGCCCTGAGATGACGGAAAACAGGCAACGGGTGCTTGTGATGGAGCAGACATCAGTGACCTATGATTTCAAGACAGAGAAGCCCATGACAGCAGAGAAAGCAAATCTAAAATGAAGAAGAGGAAATCCCAGCAAAGAGGAGACGGGACGGTTGTGGTGAGGAGGCACACAGGCTGGATGATGGCTCAGTCTGTACAGTGCCTGCCTTGAGAGCACAAGGACTTGAGTTCAATCCCCGGAACCCATGTTATTAAAAAAAAAAAAAGAAAAAAAAAGAAAAGAAAGAAAGTGAGGTGTGTACTTCCAGTGCTGGGAAGGCAGGAGGAGCTCACTGGCCAGCCAGCCTGACCTAGCGAGAGTTTGAGTTCAAATTGGAGGTGAGTTAGCGAGGATGACGCCACAGGCTTGACTCTGGCCTCCACGTACACATAGACACACACTCGCGTGTACCTGCATATGCGTGCGTGTGGGCACGCATGCAGACACAGTGGGTAGACAACGCATTCAAATGTTCTCAGGCTAGGGTGGACCCTCATCCACTTGGACGCTCCAGGAACTCTGAGGTCTAGCTGGGTAACATGTACCTACGCTTAGCTTCCAACAGGCAAAGACAAATAAAAAAATACAACTACAAAATACCCCTGCATTACTGGCTCCATGAGAAAGCTGCGGTACGGAACGCCACACCGGGAGGTGAAGGTGAAGAGTTGAGGTTGGAGGAGGCTGGGTTAGGTGGGATAGGCCCTATGCATGCCACCCTGGGGAAGAGACTGAAGAGCCATAGGAACTTGGGGTCGATGGTTACCATGGTGATCTGGATGCTTTAGGGAGATAGGCTGTATTAGTTACTAGTTTTAGTCTTAGTTTTTCTTATTACTGAGAACAAATGCCTGCCAGGAAGTAACCTGGCTGCGTGGGTTTGTTTGGGCGCACGTTCTAAGAAGGAGTACAGCCCGTTAGAGTGAGGAAGGTACGGCAGCAGGCGTGTGGGGCCGCTCCTTGCACTGCGTTAGCGGCCAATGATCAGAGTGTGCTCAGAGGTTCCCAAAGTTCAAAGCCCGTTCCACTTCCTCCAGCGAGGCCCCACCTCTTAACCCTTCAAAACCAGAGCCACCAGCTGGAGAGCAAATGTTCAGGCACATGAGCCTGTGGGGGACACAGGAGGCCACTTCAGGCTTTGGTTTGGGCAGCTGGAGGTCAGTGGCACAGTCACTGGGGACAAACAGGTCCAGGGATAACGTGATGAGTTTAGTTTGGACATTCTGAGGGCGGAACTTGCAAATGTGATGCCCAATGGTTCCCTGTAAAGGGGCCTGTCCTGGTTGTCTGCAGCCATGCCAGGGATGGGTGATCACATGAAACAGTGAGAATCACTGAATTTAGCAACATTGTCTGGGCATAAGGTGTGGAGAGGAGGGCCGGAAATAACCTGGAGACTACGAGGTGCAGAACTCGAGAAAGTGAGCAGAGACGTTGGAGGGAGTCAGCAGAAATCAGGGGAACACAGCACCTACTCAGCGAGGTACAGGGGGAGGTCATGAGCAGGGAGCAGGGATGGAAAATTCACCAGACACTGCCCACCAGGGACACAGCAGGGATGGGGGTCAGGTATGGATGGGTGTGTTATTTGTGCCATCAGAAAGAGAATTTAAGGGCCTGATGTCTGGTCACACTTTAGGCCATACCCTGGGTAGGCAGCCATTGAAGGGTTAAGGTTGGCCTGTTTGGGGTGGGAACCTTGCAGGTCCTCGGTCAGTGTGAATATGGCTCCAGAGAAAGTGCTGCAGTGGAGAGAGAGGCCTCATGCACCCACACTTGTAAGTCCTTCATGGCTCTAGCTGTTTTTCTTAACTTGGGCATGCAGCTCAGCTACTGGGTCAAGAGACAGTTCCCATACTTGGAGAAGGGTCAGACAGAGTGACAGAGGGAGGTTTGGGGACCATGGTTCACAAAGACACTTTTTGTTAGTTTCAGGACTGTGGGGTGCAGTCTCTCGGGTGGAGGAACTTTCCGGAATCCTCTGAATGGGTCTCTGTGGGAGGCTTCTCTTTCCTGTACAGCTACACTCCCCTTCCGGAAAAACACGACTTCACCCAGCCCCTGTCAGGATCCCTGAAGTGAGTGGTCAGCATAGGGTTTGCAGGGCACTTGAAACACTGGGGTGCAGGCCAACATTCAGCAACAAGGGGCGGGCCAGCTAACAGCATCCCAAACAGGAGACATTGTTTCCAGGATCTGCTCTCGCACATGAAGCCTCGGATTTACAAAACGAGACCACATCAAGACACGCTAGCTGCCCTCCCAGGCAACAGGGACTTAAACCAGACAAATTCATTTAAAAGTAGTTTGAAAAATTGCAAAAACAACCCTGCCTTGGGTGATGCTGCTTCCTGTCACGAAAAGTTTATTTTGGGAAACAATTCCCGAAGATATAAACCCAGCATCGTACAACGTGTCAGTGACTCCCGACACCAGCAAGGTGCTCTTGGATAACGGCAACACCCAGCACTGTCTGTGTTCTTTCCAAACACCAAACCCATATACTTTAATCTTGGCCTTCTGCTTCTACACGCCTGTACCAAAGGCTTTGCCATTGGTAGTCTCGCCCCAGCCCATGCTGTCAGTGCATAGCTCATAGGTCTAAGTGACCAAGCCTGGCTTGTGCAGATTTTGAATACTTTGTATTAAAATGCAGGATCTCCTACTGTCATGGTTCCGGATGTCTCCCAGCCCCCCACCCCCCATGTCACCTTTGCCTCCTGCGGCCTGAGGTTGGCCCACTTACCACTGTGCAGCACAGGGGCCAGAACCACCAGAGCAGCGCCAGGGCCAGCAGCAGGAAGAGGATCAGCAGGGCAATCGCCAGGATGGAGCCGTCTGACTGTGGGGTGAAGGGAGGGTGGTCAGTGAGGTGGAACACCTGGGGTCGTCCCTTTCACCCCCCACCTGACGACGGCAGATATGGGGCTGAAGGAAAGAGCACAGTGTGTTGCACACGTGAGTCAGACTCTGATCCTTCATGGTCAAGGCCTCACGACACACTCTCTTCAGCCTACTTCCAAGAGGAATGGATTTGATGTTTCAGGGAGTCCCTGATCTTTATTTTGGGATCATTCTGAATGGTCCATCTTACAGGTGCGGAGAGGCCCCCTTTGTTCCTGAGCACTGTCCCCACCACGGGAACATTTTCACTGATAGTTTATTTTAGAGACAGGACCCCATGTAGCTCAGAGTGGGCTTGAATTCACTATTTGGCCGAGGCTGGTCTTGAACTCCTGATCCTTTCATCTCCACCTCCCAAGTTCTAGAGTGCCAAAATTTACAGGTGTCTGCCCCACCCTGGACATTTTAACTAACAGTTTATTGGTATGTATTGAAATATTAAAGTACCTTTATTGGTACGCCAATTTACTTCTTTTTAAAATCTGTATTTTCTCGCTCCTTTAAACTTTTTTTTCATAATGAGAAGTATTGTAAGGGGCTCTTTTAGAATACTCATGCGGGGGCCTCTTCTTGGACATCAGAGCGTGAGCACAGGAGGCTTATGCAGTAGGTAACCTGTGGGCTCAGGAGAAGAGAGCCTTGCAGCCCAGCTGCACTGCCACCATGATCTTTAAGGAAGCCCATTCCCAGTGCACCAGCCTTTCAGAGCTGTCCCCCTCCCACAGCTACTGGAGGGAGGCTGGGTGGCCGGTCCAGGGCGACCCCACAAGCTAATGGCAGAGCCAGGATATGAGTCACGCCCACTCTGAGAGCTCGGGAGGGCTCTGGAAGAGCTTTAAAGGTGACTCTCATTCCCTGGAACTCTCTGGAATGTCTTTGACCAAAAAGCCAGGGAACTAAACACCCTTGGCTCCAGCCAAGAAGCCAAGGCTTGAGAATGTGGGATTGCCCTCAAGGGAGCCAGGCCTCAGGCTCAGGTGCAGGGCTGGGCAGCCAGAGTGTGGGCTGGAGAAAGTGAGGGTCCAACAGCAGACAAGGCCCTGGCAGGAGGGGACCAAGGCATGCATACAGAAAGCTGGAACGGAGCATGCATTTAGTAGTGTCGGCAAGAAATCGTGCGTTAAGGGCCAGTTTCATAGCCTGAGTATGTGTTCTAAGTGACAGAGAGAGACGAAAGAAAGTTGCTGCCTCTGTATCAACTGATGACAGGAAAAGCATGGGACGGGAGCACAGTGGAGAGGGCCAGCTCCCCCTCCCCATACAGGCGATCACTCCAAACTCCAAGCTGGAACTCTCCTCTCTTTCCCCATAGCAACCAGCACAGTGAATGTTTCAGATCGTAAACCTGTCTGCACTTGGAATAATAAGTGTTTTGGTCACCAAGAGGCTTATAAAACTGCAGCCTTCCGTAAAGACTGCAGAGTGGAGCTATTCACATTATACGCGGCACCCTCCTCCCTTATTGTTTATGCCGCAGGTACTGAAGAGCAGCCTGAGACACTGTGCAGCATGCCGCCGCATTCCTGGGGCAGGCGGGGCAGTTTCCGTGGGCAGCGAGGGTGAAGGACGGGCTCATGGTAGGGGGAAGAAACTTCTAAGGAAGACATCCGGAGCGGACAGTGATAGCTGCCTGGGGTCATAATTCCACCTAGGTGTAGTGGAGAAGAGGTTTAGCAAGGAGCCTCCGATGTGCCAAGGTGCAGGGTACAGTGTTTAAACATTTTCTTGTGCCTTGGGAAAAACCACTGCCTGGGTCTCAAGCACTAACCACGATATGATGCCTTATCGTAAACGTCACTACCAAATAAAAAGGTACGAATTTGTTTTCTAGGAGCGTAGGGAACTAATAGTTCACGAGGAATGGACACGCAGCAAATGTACATTGTCTCTTACACTGTGCTTGGTGGGTAGAGGTCAAGGACACAGGACTGACCAGACAGGCCCCAAGTGCTCACAGTCTGTGGAGGGGATCTGAGCAGCTAACCCAGTGCAGGAGGACACCGGTTACTCACTGGCTGCATCACCAGCCGTGAGCACAGCAGCTCTCTTCTTAAAGCGCTCGCGCTCTGACAGAATGGTGACGATAACGGTGATAAGAATTATTACTAATACAGCTGATAGTGTTCAGCTACCTGCAGGGACGATCTTTATTCTCTCCGTGTCCTAGCCTGGCACATTGCCTTCTTATCAATAATGTGATGAGCTCTAAACGTTATTCTTATTATTATTTTTATTTCCCCACCTTATAGTTAAATATAGCCAGGCAAGAAGAACCAGAAAAACTCCCAACGCTTATAGAGAAGGCCAGGGGTTTTGTTTGCATTGTTAGTTTTTTGTTTTTTTTTTGCATGGAGTCTTGGAGGCTCTTGGTAGCCCAGGCTGACCTAAACTTCCACTTTTCACGCCTCAGCCTTGTGACAGCTAGAGAAGTCAGAAGGGCAATCTGGCTCTCAGGTGTAACGGGCAGGCTCTTGCCCTCATAGCAAGCTACCTTGGGCCAAAGAACAGTGCCTGGGAACCAGCACTTCACATGGGAGGTGACTCCTGGGTGGGTAGGGTGCTGGTTGGTTTTGTGTGTCAACTTGACACAAGCTAGAGTCATCAGAAAGGAAGGTGAAGGAATGTCTCCGTGAGAGCCAGCTGTAAGGCATTTTCTCAACTAGTGAACAGTGGGAGAGGAGGTGCTATTCCTGGGCTGGTGGTCCTGGGTTCTGAGCAAGCCACGAGGAGCAAGCCAGTAAGCTCTCCTCCATGGCCTCTGCATCAGCTCTTGCCCTCAGGTTTGAGTTCCTGTCCTGACTTCCTTCAGTGATGAATAGTGCTGTGGAATTATAAGCTGAATAAACCCTTTCCTCCCCGACTGGCCATTTGGTCATGTTTCATTGCAGCAATAGAAAGCCTAATCTGCAGGGGCAAGGAGAGACTGGCATTCCTGCTCAGAGACAAGCACAACGCTCATGAAGGTGTGAGCGGGGATCCACATAGGGGGAACTCAGGGCAAGTGGGGGACTGCGGCTTCTATCCACACGGAAGAGGAACTCTGGGTAGCTCTAACTTGGGAGTCCTGTGACCTTGCAGTCAAGTTAGTTTTCTGGAATATCAGCCTTGTATATATGTAGGAGCAACTTTAGGGATCAGAGACAGAGAGCAGGCTATGGCTCCCAATCTGTCAGGCTCTTCATGGGCGACGCTGGTCAAGGCTGCTCCCAAGGCGCTGTCTTTTCATGAAAGCACTTAGCGCTCGTCTCACTGACCACAGCCTGCTAGTTCCTGTGCTTCCTAGATTCTCAGCAGGCATGGGGCTGGGGCTTCAGGCACAGGACAAGCTCAGTTGCTCTAAACCAGTCATCCTCCATCTTAGAGGGCGATCCTCACATCTCCGCTCTTCCCCACAAGCCAAGGGGCAGCTCTGTCTCTGGCCAAGAGTTATCTGGAACGTTTCAGAGTACACAGCCCACTGCGGCCCGGCACTCTAGAAAGTGCTGTGTCTTGTGCCCTTGCTCTGGGGCAGACTGCCTTGCCTCCTTTATATCTGACCGATAGCCCTCAGTGTTTCTGGCTTATTTTGTTTTAAATGACACCTGTACTAGAGGGTGTCTCCCTGGGTGAGCATCCAGAAGGCTCAGGGGCTGCCACTGGACACAACCTGACTCTGGACTAGTGTGTGCCGGGCCTTTGCCCTGCCTGTCTGCCAGGCCTATGTGGACACAGTCTGAGGCCCAGGGAGGCCATCTGGACCAGTAACTGCCCTCAGGTAACTGTGTCTGCCTTGTCCCGTCTTGGCTGGTTGTGTTAAGTTGGGCTATGTCATAGTGTACATTATTACATATTGCAGAGAACTGTGCTTTTAAAAAGGCTGCTCACTGCCCTAAAAATCTCCATTTTACACCTATCTTCTGACTTGAGGGAGAAGGATGAATGCAGCCCCTGTGTGGACCAGACACTGCACCATCTCTCAGGCACGCCCACCCGGCGCAGGATGATGCATGACGTCTTCTGGGGCAGGGATGGAGACACCCTATAAGCTCATTGGGAATGAATTATGCTGTAGGGGCACATGGATGTATTAAAATCATTTCACGGAAACCAGGCCCAAGAAGTTATTAGACTCGTCAGACCAAGGGGAGGGTGTGACTCCTTCGTCTGGACCCCATAAAATGATGGATACACAGTACTTGGATGGTGTGGCACCACACTGACATATGACCCGATGCCTGCTGTGTGCACCACAGACGGACAAGCGAAGAACTCCCTGACCGTCTGCGCTTGGGTCTTCAGCTGGTCTGGGTCCCCTCCCACTGACACTGTCTACACACTGCCCGCCCATCCGCTTGTTCACCCCTCGGGTCCTGGGTCTGAACCTCCATTTCCAGCTCTGGAAGCTGGCTTTGCCCTTCCCTGGATCTGCAGCACTCTTGCTCTCACTCGCTGACCCCAGCAGCAGCCCCCTCCTGCCACTGGTCGGTGGGGGTGTACCTTCCCGCTGGGGAGCACTGAGTTTTTCAGTGGGCAGTTTGAAGCCTTCCCCCAGCCCACGCTCGTACGGAGCTGCTACTGAACGTGCAGGCGGGTGCATTAGATCTGAAGGCAACAGGTGCTCAACTCTTGGAGGAGCACAGTGGTTAGGGTGGCGTTTGAGGTCAGATTCAACAGGCTTCTCCAGGCTCACAAAATGAGGGCATCCTCTCTCTTTAAGACCAGCAGGGCATTGCAGCCAAAGGTAAAGATCTGCAAACATAGCAAACGAAGCCTTCTCTTACTTGGCGGGTGGAACCTAGGCAATTTGGGTTTCTCACACACAGCATGGCATGGGATGAGGGGTGTAGGATCATGTCTGGGCTTGTTTTCTGTAGGAGGCAGAGGCCTCTGGGTGATACAAAACCCAACACCTCTGCCCTTTTCTGTTTTGTTTTGGGGGTCGCCATAGTAAAGGGAGGA